AACCACAATTCAACGAGGCTCCTAAAGAGTAGGTCTAAATTAAATTACAGAGAAAAAGGATTTTTTATTTTAAACTCTGTTATCAGACTTTCAAGATCATCAAAAATGAATTATTCATTTTTTAAACCAATTTATCCGAATCAATGACATCAAACATTCACATTGTAGTGACTCTTAAAATTGTATTTTTTGTTGTATTATAACAGGTGCTCCTTACAAATAAGGGAATCGTGACTCATGGTCTTGCGTTTCTAGGTAATTAACCATGCAATGTATTATGAGATCATCAATTTTTGTGAAAATGTGTCTTTTTTATATGAGTAAGCTATTTCAGGAAAATGATGCTGTGAAGCTCAAGTTCCATTTTTAGACATAAAAATGTGAACTTTTTCATGGGAATTCACATGAGGTCACATTTATGTTTGTTGTTCACTATGATGTCATATTATTGTATTCTAGTTTTTGTTGTTGTTAAATCATGTCATATGATGTCACAATGAGTACAGTCATTCTTCAGTGAGCTCATAAGATGTCATGAAATTTATTTGCTGATTAATGAGGACACATATGATATTATGCCCTCATCTTTTCTTGTCTTACAATACCAGAGTACATGGTGATGTCATATGATGTCACAATGAATAGAGTCATTCTTCAGTGAGCTCATTAGATGTCATGGAATTTGTTTGTTGATTAATGAGGACACATGATATGATATAATATGATATTATGCCCTCATTTTGTCTTGTCTTACAGAGTACATGCTGATGTCAGATGATGTCACAATGAGTACAGTCCTTCAATGAACTCATAAAATGTCAAAAATTTGATAAATGAGAAAACATATTATGCCCTCATGTCTTACAATATCTTGTCTTGTCTTACAATATCAGTGTACACGGCTGCTGATGGCATATGGTGTCACAATAAATACACCTTCAAAATATTCTGATGACCAACCTATTCATAAAAGTCTTCTATTTGCTCCTAGTGCCTCATAAGATACTCCTTTTGAGAATCCAAAGGGTATGCACTGTATAAACCCTTAAGTGACTATTGACCAAATAGTTTACCAAAGACTTGACCCATTTCAGAAAATGTTTATATTAACATCATTTCATCTATACATACAATATGCATTCCCAGTTTATTTATCTAGAACTCATGCCAAAGACTCTCTCTGTTCTAATACCTTTTAAAGATTACAGTCGCCTCACCTCCACAATGTGGTGGACACATAATATTTATTCCCAACACTGGCAGATCTGGGGGAAGGCCCAAGCCCCCCCCCCCCCATTCGGGCCCAGGAAAAAATTGGCAAAGGCCCCAATAAGTGGGCCTTTTTGGGCATTACTGTGTAACATTAAGTTAAGGCCTTACTTTTAATTTTAGGCCAAATCATGATCATGAAGAAAATGGGCCTAAAATATTCCAAATTTGGGCCCACTTTTTGTTTTGGTTTTTATCAAACTAGTTGGTTTCCAGAACGGCTCTGCTCAATTCCAGAAAAATATGACTCTGAAATAGTGAAAATTAGATGAGTTAGAAGTTAGGAACTCCAGGGTGCAAGTAAAACAACCCAGTACCAAAAAGCAATTTTATTATAGGAGATGTACCTGTTATTTGATGCTTTACGTCCAGATCAAGTGTAGGTTGTAAAAATAAGATTAAATGTTCTCTGATGATTTCCGCAGATGTTTGAAATATAAATTTGTATTTTGATCTCTGTTATCGTAAAGATAAATGGTGTTTAATGATGATAAAGAAGCTCACCTTGGGGCAGTTAAGTTTTTGTTTTGGAATCAGAGGTCTTGGCATGAAAATCTAGAGAAATGATAGTGCGGTTTACAGTTTATACAGATATAGCTATAATATTTTTAGCATTGTATGTGTAATTACATAATCTTCAAGTTCTGAAAAAATGAGAGGAATATGTGAAAAAAATCACAAAATGAGAGCATTTTTATCAGAATATATGGATCGCCCCTTGTATATGGATATGCTATTTTTTCATGCTAATTTTACATTTTTTCTCTCTAAAATGAATGAGCAGCCAAACTTCATGTACTGTACAAGCCTAATACCTGATATATGTATACAATCATTTTGAGTGCTTGATAAACTGGCATATAGCCAGGCAGGTGGAATAATATAATGAAGACATTTATTTTGTCAAGTGAATTATTTCTTTCCATTAAGCATTAAGCTGCTAGATTATTGTCTTATCATGTACTTGTTTTGTACTTTCTTCCATTGCCTTTTTATTTTCATTTTTATATGGTTTCATTTGGCTTATGAAACTGTGATCTGAAAATGAAGTCATATGACATATACAGGGTGTCCCAAAAAAAGGAAACCAGCAATAGATTGCTTATTTCTCAAATATGAATAATGATAGAAAAATTTCACAGCTACCATCTGATAGATTATGATGTCTTCTTTCTTATGATACCAAAGTTGTCTATTTTCCTTCCCGGTTGACTGAGTTATAAGGGATTTAAGTGACCATGTCAGAAATGAGTTTGTACCACTTTCAGCCAAGTCAATTTCACCATCATAACAAAGTGATAAGTAACAACAAACATCAGGATATCACTCTTTTACTCATTTATTCCAATTAAAATTACACATATCATATTTAACACCCCTTTTAAATCCCAATGTCCATTCAAAGTTGTTTTAACCCCAGTGTCCTTAAACATGACCCCCATTCCTTTCAAGGCAGGTGTCTGCCCTAGATCTCATCGCACGTACTGCATCCCTGTTGATGTCTCTCTGTCCCCTTAGATCCTCCACTGCTGCAACATTCCTGGCCCTTAGATCATCAACGTCTCTTGGTGGTGTTGTGAATACTTTACCCTTGAGATAACCCCAAATGAAGAAGTCGCAGGGTGTCAGGTCTGGGGATCTCGGTGGCCACTCAATCTCGTGGTTCAAGGCAATCACTCTTTTATTGAACAGCGCCCTTAATCTGTCCCTAACGATAATCCGACGATGAGCCACTCACTTACTACGAATACTCTTTGATCTTGGGTCAGCTGCATGAACTTGCTATGTTGAATGCTTGTTCGGAAATGTGTATTTCGAATAGGACATGGTCTTGCATAGCCATTTTAATCATTCATTGTTCAGCCATTCATGATAGAAAAGTGGCACAAACCAATTTCTGACATGGTCACTTAAATCTTTTAGAACTCAGTCATCCGTGAAGAAAAATAAACACCTTTGGTATCATAAGAAAAAGGACATCATAACCTATCAGATGGTAGCTTTGAAATTTTCCTATTATTATTCATATTTGAGAAATAAGCAATCTATCACTGGTTTCCTTTTTTTTGGGACACACTGTATTACCCTTAAATCAACCTGCCTTGTCTATTAGGCACGAGCTAACCTCCCCCCCCAGCCATATATTCAAATTCATGCAGTTTCACCATTCTGAGCACTTTTTTTAGTAATTTTAGCCATTTTTGGACTAACATTGTCAAAGGTGAACCCCCTGGAATTTTTAAAAAATTGAACCCCCCTTGGCAAAAGCTGGCTATGGGCCTGTCTATAATTGCATTTTACACTAAGTTTGTCACAATCCATAACACTACAACCATCATGTCATACTTTGCCTATGGGCATACCACATTTTGTCCTAAAATCCGAGTTGAGCCTGTCGAAGTAACATAGATGTTTTGTTTATAACAACTGGTTTAATGAACTGAAATATTTTGAGTCATTTAGAAGGATAGAGATTCACGATTTGTGTTGGTTATTTAAGGTCGAGTCTCATTTTATTTAATGAGATTTTCTTACCAGGTTCGGATTATTTACAAAACTGATTACTTCATTTGTTTTAAGTATGTACATGGTGTGATCTTTTCATTTTTGATCTCCGAGACAATATTCTGAGGAAGTGGGAAAATTGATATGATTTAAGATGTTAAAATAATTCTGTAGAATTTTCTACATGTATAAAGTAAAACCTGTCTAAATGAAACACCAGGCTCTAAAAAAAGCGTTCCACTTGGGAGGTATTCCACTTATAGAGAGGTCCATTTAACAAGTCAGTTGGTCTTGGGACTCTGAAAGGTGTTCCACTTAAACAGGGGTATTCCTCTTCTAGAGGTGTTCACCTCTTCTGGTTTCATTTTAGTTATAATTACTCAATTGGTCGTGAGTTCCGAAAGATCCTTTAAAATTAGATTGTTGTCTTTAAGGACACCTACCAGAAAGATAAAACCTGCATGTCAGTTCAAATTAGGATCAGAATGTGATTTTCATTTCAAAGTGAACGTTCAGTCGTGATAGCACAATTTCAGTGAGATTCTATACAGAAAATAGTTCAAAATACAATTGCTACATGTTTTGAATATTAAGGACACCACTTAAAATATCAGTTAATTGTGCCGAAATGGTCATGTTTGAAAATACACAATTAAAATAAATTACGAATTTCTTGCATGGAATTAACTAAATAGGTTTGATGTTAACACTTTAAATTGTATAAAAATGCAAGAAAATCAGGCAGTTCATTCAAAAAATTCAGAGAAAATGTGTAAAATTAACATGACTAAATCGAGACTGAAGCAGACGGATGTCCTGAAGTAATATAGCTCATGATAACACATCACTTGCAAAACTTGACCTAGATTGTCGAATCAGAGTTCTATTATAAAATATAACATCAGCAAATAAATGAATTTTTTATTCAATGATGGGATTTTTTATTAATTTATTTAGTGGAGACTTAACACATGAAGTCAGTCACAAAGCTCAAAGCTATGTTTTTAATAATTTAAAAAAAATATTGCATTTCTTTTAACTACAATAAAGTAAATGCATGTGTACTTTCTGGACGCAAATACTTTGCATTGCAACTTCAAATGCAATCAATACAAGGTATCTTTCCATGGCAACAGTTGCCATACACCTATACTAACATTAATTACAAATGCCATTCTACCAGTGATACCATGCATTTATACTATCTACCCTCTATGTAATTCCAGGTATCAATTTATTCTCAGTTGCTGCCCATGAGTTTGGCCATGCGCTGGGTCTGGCCCATAGTGGAGTTGTGGGCTCACTCATGTATCCATGGTACCAGGGCTTTGTTGAGAACTTCCAATTGCACCCTGATGATATCCAAGGCATACAAACACTTTATGGTAGGTTTTTATTGTTCTTATATTATGAGTATAGTTACTATGGAAATGAGGCAGTTGAGGCAATTGCCTCACCAAAATTTCACAAAAAATGAAAAAATTATCTCCCATCGAAGTACAGGTTTTGCCTCACCTTTTCAAATTTGCCTCACCTATTTATGTTTGCCTCACCTATTTATGTTTGACTCACCTATTTGAATTTGCCTCACCTATTTTTGGATCCTGCTTATACCTCTATTACCTATTGCTATTATTACCCCTATATGTATTTGGACAATTTAATTCTCATTACAACATATACCTTTTTTCCAAGTTTATCCTTTTTTTTTACTTTAACTATCTTTTGATAGATGGCATAGTAGAACTGGCAGTCCCATTTCACTAATATTCATCTGATTTAGCTTATCGTTCATCAAAGCTTTGAATATCTGTCTAAAAGGGCATGAATCATCTATCTATTACAATCCATTCGGTGCAGAATACAGTATAATGAAAATCTGCATTTGCTATTGTCAGACAAGTTTGGTTATTCAGGGCAATCCTCTTTCTGTCCAATCAGATGTATGTTCAGTGTCCGGTTTTGGCCTATCAGGGCCCTGTTCAGTGTCCCGGATCTACCCAATCGAAGGCCTACTGTTCTCAAAAACAGAGTAAAATCACAGTTTCTGAATTTCGATTGTCTTTCATACAGATCAACATCCCTTCATCATATTGTGATCTTTCAAGAATCTGAAAACACAAAAAGAAAAAAATTAAACCATCAACTAATTCAGCTACATTTAAATGTTTTCCTGTATTACAGTAAACACATTTTAACATGGAAATTATAGCTTTTTTCTAATGTTATTTCAGGGGTAAGATACAATAACAATCTTCCACCTAGGAGGCCAGAGATCCCAGTCATTCCATCAACAACAGCAATGGTCCCTCGAAGTAAGTACAAATATCACAACAGGCCCATAGCCAGGATTTACCAAGGGGGAGGGGTAATTTTTTTTTCAATTCCAGGGGGGTTCACTTTCAACAGTTTTGGCTAAAAAAAATCACTTTAAAAGTGCTCAGAATGGTGAAAAACTGCATGGTTTTGAAAGAATCTTTTGGCAAGGGGGGAGGTCGAACCTACGGGCCTGAACAATTATCATTTGTAAATTAACCAAACTCCTGTAACAGATCCTTGAGATTCTAAACCATGTCAAAAACAGTAACACCTGTATATCTGAACATCTCTCTAAAATTCTGAACACCTCTCAATGTTTTTTGGGGTCCTATTTTTTAATCTGTCTGTGTTAGAATACCTTGAAATGTGAACACCTGCTAATGGGCCCCTGCTAATCCAACACTTTTGGCCTGCCCCAGCGGTGTTTGAATTAGACAGGCTTTACTTTAAAAAGTTTTATGTAATTTTTTTTACATTTAGCAAAGTTCATCTATCATTCACCCAAAAAATTGAATTAATGATTAATGTGTCAACGATACATCACACTGATATTTTTTAAAAATTTCTGTCAAGTCATATCTGTATTTTACAATTATCTTGTATTTTACGTTTGATGATGTTGTAATTAGAATTTTATTTTTTGTATTCAGTAGTTAGTTTAGTCTTATTTCAGTTTTGTATATTGTAGTGTTTAGTTTTTTAGTGACTAATATGTCATTGTAATGACATCAGAGTCAATAAAAGATGTACAGTATAGGCCTATAAGCATTTAAAATAGGTGAACTATGCTGAACTATGTCTTGTATTAAGCCTTTTCAAATTTTACCTGTTACTATTATTTAAGGACCTCCTACTACGAGAACTACTACTACAACAACTACTACACGGCGACCTTACACTTACAGACCACGCCCACGTACACGGCGACCATATGTGCCCCGCACTACCCCTAAACCTGATGGGAAGCCTGACAATTGTAACGTTGTCATAGAAGCTGCTGATGTTGTACGTGGAGAACTGATGTTATTCAGTGGGAAGGTAGATATACTACTATTATCTTAGTCATAATTTTCATTCTGCGTTTCGGCACCAAATTGACTGACTAGTCCGGTTGCAAATTTTGGTGACAAAAGGTTTCGGTGCTGGAACGGTGCCGAAACAGCGCCGAATTTTTTCGATGACGAAACGGCGCCAAATTATATTGGCTGTGTACTAGTAAATATCCTGCAATATTTCCTTATTTACCATGCTATCCTATGATATTTCTATATAATCTCTTAAGAATCTACCAAATAAAAAAACAGAAATTGTTATGAAATTCATGAAAATAAGGAATAACCTCCACTGATTTCCATAATTTCAGTGGTTCTGGAGAAGAAATGAAGAGGGAATTCTCAACGGTTATCCCGTTCTTATAAGTGAATTCTGGGTAGGCTATCCCCAGGACCAACATGTGGATGCCATCTATGAACGACGAGATGGAAAAATTGTAATTTTCTATGGTATGTTAATGACTTCAATTGCAACATTTATAACACTTATATCTGAAAGATGACAGGTATAAGTGCATCCTTTAGGAGACATAGCATATCAGATGTCTCCTTTGGGAGACAGGGTACATATATTCATATAAGTGCCTTCTTTGAGAGAAATGGCACACATAAGTGCCTCCTTTAGAAGACATGGTGCATCTATATGTCAAGCATTTGTCTGATTTTGAATGAAATGAAAATTTCCCATTTTTGGAAAAAATATTGTATTAATATTTGAGCTAAATGGAAATGTCAATGGTTTTAAGGATACCGATCTTATCTGATTATTTTGGAAAAAATAAAAATATCTCTTTTATGAGACAAATATTTCATTGTATATTTCAAACTAAAGGAAATGAGCTGATAAATTTCAGACATGGCTGTTCAGTAGAGATGTCACGGAACAAAAAAATTGGAACGGTTTGGTTTGGAACGTTTTGCTTCGGATCGGAACAATTTCGGAATGGTTAGGAGTGACTGCGTGTATTAGATTAAAATAAGTTGATTGTCCAAGTCTATTTGGTAGTGAAAAACTCTTCAAAACTCTTCAATGAGAAGGAGTGAAAAGAATGTACTCATTTTGGTGCAAAATATTGAAAGAAAAATGCTGTTTTATGGCGATTTAAAGGCCTCAAGTTGTGAAAGGGTAAGATTTTCTTGTTCCGGAACCAAACCAAAATTCTTAATTATTGTTCTGTGTTCCATTCCGAAAGCATAATTCCGCTGGTCAAAAGAAAATTGTGTATCCGTGACACCTCTATTGTTCAGTATAAATAACCAGTTCCTAAAAATACAGTTCATATTTAAGTTAATCAAACAATATCTTACATTTTCAAGGTGCACATTATTGGTTGTTTGACGGAAACCAACTTGAGAGAAATTTTGACCCGAAAGGCAACCCACTGACAGATTATGGCTTGCCAACTGGTCTCTCAAAAATAGACGCTATATGGAGGTGGGGTCACAATGAACGAATCTATATGATTAGTGGCAATATGTACTGGAAATTGAGCCATCGCAACAAAGTTGAACGAAATTACCCAAGAGATTTGAGTGTATGGGGAGGTGTCCCTGTATCACCTGATGCTGCTTTCCAGTTTTGGGATGGTGAGAATATTGTTTTTTTTATTCATAAATATATTAATTCAGATTTTCTTTCGGGAAATTGTAACTCAAAACAGTCTTTCAAAGGTTGTTAATAACTATTTGCTAATTTTGATCTAAAACTTTTCAATTTCAATATCTATATGATAGCAAAGTATGTAGCATTATACATTCCACTAACCATACTAAAAATATGACTAAAATATAATGATATTTGGCACGGTAGATGTTGTCATAGTAACATGAAATAAGGTACTGTGTAGCAAATTGTAATATGACTTACAAATGACATCTTATTTTCCAGGCCGGACATATTTCTTCAAGGGCAAACAGTACTGGGAATTTAACGATGGCGTCATGAGGACGAGAAAGAGTTCACCCCGACCCCTAGCTGGCCTATGGATGGGGTGCTCTGATCTCCCTACGACGGAGACTTCAAATGAAATTCCAATATTTCCCGCGGGTGATGAGCAACCGCGAGTCCATGGATCTGGACAAACAGACAATAATTCAAACAGCGCAAATGGCGTTCAAAAGTGTTGTGGAATGAAGCAATATTACGTTTTACTGTTATCAGCATTTGTGTATTTATTTACGCGAAACAACCAGAATTTTTCATAGCGAACATGTACGAAAGTATCATTCATTTTAAATGAAAATTAAGGTTAGTAAATTGGCACTATGAAAAAGTGTTTATATTGTAGTACAGGTGTTCATATTTAAGGGGTGTTCTTATTTCAACAGAGACAGAGAGGTGTTCACATTTCACATTTCAACAGAGAAGATGATAATTTTAACAGATTTCAAATTTCAAAAACACTTCTCAATGTAAACACCTCACAATGTGAACACCCCTCTATGTAAACACATCTCCATGTAAACACCTCTTTATATGAACACTTATCAATATAAACACCTCACAATGTGAAAATGTAGCTATTCTTGGCAAATTCACTTTATGCAGATTTTACCAGTATAGTGTATGCAGCATTTAAGATTTTGTTATAAATCCCAGTTCACCAATTTGGTGAAAATGTCATTTCACAATTCAGTTTTAGAGGTTGTCTCACATGTTTTACACCTACTTCAACAAAAAATCCATTTCTGCTGACCGTCCACCCTTTTTAACAAGACTTTTGAAGTGCAATTTTTAAAAATGATCTAGCAATTTTTCGTGCACAAAACAGTCTTTCACTACCCAACTCCAAATGAATGCAATTTTGTGTAGAATTAAGTGTGTAACATATGAGACAAGGCCCAAGGAAGTACCTCTGCTCATCTCTAAAGCATGCCAAATGTACAGTGGATACCAGGCCCATGCCTACATTGAGGCTGCTAAGGCATTTGCCTCATTCAGGATTCTTGCCTCAAGAGTTTTAATTTTTCAGCCAACAATATGATCATGTGAAATTATTTTTGCATCGGTAAAATTTTGCCCCAAAATATGGGCCTTGATACAGTATAAGATTAACTTGCCTTTTAAGTCTTCCTTTTTCATTTCTCTCTTTGCATTCTCATTTCAAAAGTTTCTACTGATATTTTGCTTATATGCCCATGGGGGTTTATTTGGAAGAAAGGTACATACAGGTGTATTTTTGAAGAGCTTTCAAATAAATGCCCAACAAGGGAAGCATTTGAGCAAAAACTTCCAACAGTTCTGTACCATGGAGGCCATTTTAAAATGCTATCAGAAATACATGTAAACACCTATCCTCCTAAATAAATGCCCACTGGGTGTTTGAGTGAGAAACTCTAATATTTCAGTTTAGGTAATGCCTAAACATGTACACTGAAATTGAGCTTATTCTTCTCAAGTACAACATGTTTCACAATGATCTCATATGATATTGTCACAAAATAATTAAATAACACAATATTGAGGTCACAATTAGAGTTTAGAGTTGTTTCGTAGACAAAGAAAGATCATGAGTTATAATGATGCAATAAAATGGAGAAACCTTATATTTTCATGACCCTTAAAAGGGGTCTATTTCTGTTCCTTTAATTTTAGAGATTTTAGAGACATTTTAAAACGCATTGTTATCATTTATCATATTTTTGAAATCTGTTATTTTATCATATTATCATTTTAACATGTAAACTCATGAAACTGACTGGTGCTCAGTTTAGAATTTTCAATGTTTTGTAATTTATATAAACTTCATTTTGTACAGATTTTGATAAATAAATATTGGATTTAAAACTGAAATAATATTGTTCTATTGTTATCTTTAGTAGGCATACATTCTAACAATTTTGCAATATTTTTTACTGTCACCATTCCAAGAAATTGCCTATTTTTAAAAAAAGTCAAACATTTTTGAGTTTATTTTTGGATAATCGTTCAACAATTTTAAGGTTATCGAGCAAAAAAAAAAATTAGAAAGATGTTTGCTTTAGATAAACGATTGATCCTCAAAAATGTAGACCAACATAATGATTCACCTTTTTAGGTGTTCACTTAAGAGAAGTGTTTTTCCATGTCTTATGCAAGTTCGGTTATTTGAACATAGCGCAATTAGCAAAAGAGGAGACATACTACTAGAAGACATAAGAGTTTTGATGGGCACAGGGCATTGTCAGACGATCTTCAATATATTTTGTTTTACAGTATAACCTGTGTAAGTGGAACACCTTTGGTACCTCTAAAATGTGTTCCACTTATGGAGGCATTCCACTTACAGAAGTGTTCCACATTACAGGTTTTACTGTATATGATTTCTATTTTGAAACTTCAAATTAGACACACCGGTTCGTTTATGGATACAGTGATAAATATTGTAAAGGGTTTAACAATGCCCAGGGTTTATCCAGGAATGCCCCGCGGCCAGGATATAATTTTCACAATTTCCCAAAATTCGTCTTAAAGAAAAGTTTTTCTACATGTTGCTGAGGCATTCGCATTGCCTGCTTTATAATTGGCTATGCCCTCAAAAATCCTACCTCTGGTTTTTCAGTCTTGTTGCCTCGACAGTATAGCCAATCAAAGGTCCTTATAGTTTTTCAAAACTTGCTCCAAACTTGTAAACGCATCAAGAAAATTTTCCTCCGCCATTCCGTGATTTGTGTACTGGTGCACATAGGCTCTCGATGAGAACATACCCCATGCTTTGCTGATCACATGATTCAAAGGCCCGACAGGTGATTGGCTGTTGCTAAGCATTATGGCCGCTTTTTCATACTGATGAAAACAGCGTGGTTGAGTCCATGTTTCAAGAGCGCATCCTGGTGGAATCCAATCTGGGTAGAGTCGGCTATCTTGGAAAGCTGAGATATCTGGTGATGCAATGTCTTTTCCTCGAAGGAACATTAAATTGGCGACAGATTTGTTGAATGTCCTGAATTTACCTTCACTGACTTTAACATTCCAGTCAATACCTATAAATATAAAAGTGAGTTCATTAACCCACAAAAAACATTAAACCATGCTCTATCTTCATCGATCTCTTTCCAAACAAGCTTCTAGAATAAGTATGAATTGGTGAATCCAGTAATACAAACACGTCTTCTGAAGACGGCAAAAAATCATATATTCAATATTAATAATAGTATCTTTGAAGAGAAACTGTTACACATTGAGACAATCCCGAAATTTAGAGAGGAGAATGACAACGAACCATTTTAATTTAAATTCCAAATGAAAGGGCGCAAACAGAGTTTCAACAGGTTGGCATGTCATATGCAAATTCTCAACAAAATGCAAATTGCCCAAAATAGACCTTTCCAATAAACTCTGCCACCTATTGGTAAATCAAAGAAGCTGTGATATATTGGCTAGATTGATGATGTCATTAGATGTACTTTTTCAAATTAGCGACAAGCAGGGGCGGATCTGGAAACCAACAAGGTGGGGGGGCCAAAGGAAGAGGCTCGATAGAGAGAGCTTTTTAGATGGGTATAAGTTTTTTATTATTTCGATGATTAATATAAAATTGTAACACAATTTAGGAGATGAGGTGAATTTTCATATTCTAAAATATTATTTCTGAATCATCAAAATGGATTTTTCTACAACCTTTTTGGCGAATCGATGAACTCGTTTTTCAGGTTTAACCCTTTCTTTGTGGTTAAATATAATGCCCTTTATATAATTATAGAAACAAAATATTTTGTTTCTAGGTCTTTAATTATCTAAAGTCTTACATAATGTGGACACATATTTGTTTAACTGATCAGAAATATTTGTATAGGGGGGCTGAGATCCCCGGGAATTCCTGAGGTTTGACCCATTATGTTATGGTTTTGAACCGATGATAAGTTTATAGAGGGAAATGCTGTTCCATCGAATTATTTGATTTTGACTGAAATTAACGCATTACGTTATTCACACTGGGAGCTACAAAATATTGGGTTACGGATTTATTAAAACGTGCCTTTATCTCGCATTCTCGGTTTACCTGCGTATCATGATTTATGATCATGATTTATCGTTTATGCTTTGCTCACATAAGTTCAGATTCACCTTATGGGTGCCTACCGATTACGGTATTTTTCAACTGCCAACCGATCACCGGCAGACGTTGCGCCGGGAGAATTTTCACAATCAAAATGTAAATTACATTATAAAATATGTATCAAATGAAGAAAAGGATGTCCAGATGGGTGCTGTTCGGCAATTGTAAGATTATAGTGTTGCTTGTAATATCATAAGTTGAAGAAAATTGGGTTCTTGGAATACATGTTCGTTAACGTTTTGATTTTGATTGTATATATTTATAATTCATATGTAATATACGATTGACTGTACTTTGAAGAGAAAACAAGTATTTTACCAATTAATAGAAGAATTCAAAAGCTCTAGCGAAGTAACCTCTTTAGTTTATATTCGCCAAAACGTAAAACGATAGAAAATCATATATTTTTGAAACATCGCTTATTGGAACCATTTCACTTGTCGACTAACTTGCGGTAAGTTAGTTGTACATGAACTGGGCAGGTCGTAATATCCCTATTTACCAGTTAAAGACATTCGACATGTTATGACCGAAATAATCAGTTACGATCCGTAGTATAATTAACAAATCCAGTGCCACGGAATAAATAACTTGAAAGTGGTGATAAGCCATTCAGGACTACTTAGATTATTCATTTATTTTATTTTTCTAGTTTATTGACGGCCATTTATGTTTGTTAAACATTTTCATCATATAAATATGTATCAAAATGTTTTGGTCTGCAATATTTCTTATTTAATAAATCTTTTTCAAGCAAATGGAAATTGTTATCATAATTCCATCTGAAACAATGGAACAATCATATAAATATGAAATACAGGCATTTTACAGATAAAGTATAGTCAGCGTTGCTGCAGAAATAGGATTAAAATTCCAAGCGGGGCTATTATAATACATATTATTGAAAAGGGAAATCTTAGACTGGCTGAAACTTATGTCCAAAAGATATATGAAGAATTGCCCCTAATTGAAATTGCAGCATTTTAAGAACTTACCAGGGTTTATCTATTCAAAACTAGCTACAGTTCATAAGATGCGAGGCATTTATAAAATAGTGAATCAATATTAACAACGAAATCATATCTATACAAGGATGGATAAAAACATTAATGCCTGGTGTAAACGGGTAGGAGGTTCTATCAATTATGGTCCTACTCTCCATTGATTTATATGGTGACCTAAACTTTTTCCCTCATTATCTTATACGCAATCTGGGCCAATAAGGGCCGTTAAGAAAGGGGACCATAATCCCTGGGGGACCATCATTTCTTTCACACCTGGTCACATTTGCTCAGATTTATCGGCCGGCGTCCGGCCGATTGAGTATCCTGCTGACAATTGCATTCAGTTTTTGAACAGAATATTTAATCTGTCGGCCGCCGGGCAATGAATCGGAGCAAATGTGGGATAACCAATTAACGAATATCTACAGACTGCTCATCTCTTGTATAATGGTACTGTATATGTCTATGAATTCCGTCTAAAAGAAGACGTTCTCTAAAACTTTCTAATGGAATACATGACGTATAGGACTAGAAACACAATGCAAATTCACGTTTATGCAATATAATTTCTTTTTTATTAAATTCAATCTTTCAACACTTTATGGAGCTGTTACGTTAGACCACGTGGCCTCACCGTTCGCTACAGTATGGATACGTTTTGCAGATGGCAGGGCTAGACATGGACATACGGTTGGCTAATCAAATAGTTTTAAAGCAGGATATTCCGAACGGTGAGCCCACACGGCCTAGTGCAATAGCCACTCATTACATTTCGATACTCATAACATCCTTCTGTTTCAACCGAAAATTGCTTTGATTTTATTAGGCATATTCTGTGATCTGAACACATCAGATGGGATGTGTTATAACTGTCAATAAGTGTGATAGTTATCATATACCTTAATGTCAATCCATTACATAATAGGCATTGTATTCAACCACATATAAATTAGCAAAGGCACAGATGCACAGTTTTAGGACTGGAGAAGAAATAGATGTCATGATTTATCAGGACTCATTAGCTATTTAACATACTCTATATGTTAACATTATTATTGTATTTTGTTTCAATTCAAAAATTGAATTCAATTAATTTTAGTTGTACAATGATCACTGGTGATCCGCTCGATTACGCTGGTTACCGAAACGGTTCGTTTTGGTAACAATATGTCGGACATCGAAGGTACGATTTTTCTTTTTCCTTATTTCACGCGTTGTAGGCAGAATACCAGCGACGTTTTTGTCACAAACGTGTATCAGCATCATATGTTTTAGAAAATGTACATGTTTGCGAAAAAATAGCTCAGAAGACAACAGAATCGTCGATTTAATTCCTCACTTAAGTGCAGATCTTAACTGTTTTTCGAAAAAACCGTTTATGTAACTTAAGTGAGAAATTAAATCGACGATTCTGTTGTCTTCTGAACTATTTGTTCGCAAATATGTACATTTTCTTAAACATATGATACTGATACACGTTTGTGTTAAAAATGTCGTCGGAATTCTGCCTACAACGTGTGAAATAAGGAAAAAAGTAAAATCGTACCTTCGATGTTCCGACATTTTGTTACCAAAACGAAACGAATCGTTTTGGTAACCAGCGTAATCGAGTGGATCACCAGTGATGATTATCCCCGAACAATAACTCAACTGAGTCTACATTCAGCGCTTTATCGTATTCTATATGTGTTATTTTTAGTACCATCGTAAGTACATCTGTGAAGCCCCGTTGTGTAGCCTAACGTAGCTACTTGTACAATCACTACAATGGTAACTTTGTGAGTGTCTGTAAATGCCATGATGCAATATAAAACACTGTAAAAATCTGATAATTATTTTTGATTACTATGACAAGTAAAAGATTTATAACACTAACCTAATGCATAGTTTTACACATCTACATGCACACATTCTACTCGAATGTTACTATTTGAGATAATTCTTTTCGAAGCGATCGTACAGTCTTCATACATTGGAAGAATCACAATTTAGCATTGTTTTTTATGATTATAATAAATATAAATATGATAAGGTTAATGACATATCAAAATTCTTGTTGGAGTGGTCAAAATCATATACTCTCGATAAACTTTGATAAACGATTTTTATTCATTATCCATGGAAGACAAAATATGGCATATCTACACCCTGATGTGGTGTTAAATTCATGTAGGCATATTATGTACATCTATATTTAGGTTGATGTGAAATATAAAGTTATGATATTGGTCAACATGCAAAAAATGAACAAAAAATATATATATCGAAGCGTATTTCGAAAGTTTTGAGGACGACATTTTGTTTTTCGATTTTGACCAATCAGAAACATATGTCATCTCAATAGGGGTTTACATGTTCATGTTCTCTACCTGGGAATGAGAGCCCATAATTCAATTTTTGAACTAGTCTGAAGAGACCTACATGCAAAGTTCATAGAAAAAAGAAAAATCACAAATATAAATACAGTTTGATTATAAGTCTATTGGAATTTTCATCGTGTTGATTTTAAAGTCTATTACAGAAATTACTGTTATGTTTACCACACTGGTACCAGTTAGTGGTATGTTGAATGGTATGAGTTGTTGAGTTTCACCTTCACCCAGATCATGCAGAATATCAACACGGCGTTCCTTGTAGAAAGCAGTTCTTGGTTTGTCTTACATATGATAGATAGTAAGATATGATAGGCAATATTCTCCTTTGACAAGATGTGACTGACACAGTTTTGTGTTGGAGTGTAGCAATATGCGATGCGGTGCAATCATACCATATCTAACATCACATAACATGCTCATCCTCGTGCTCATCACAGAAAGATGTCAACACGTATGCCTCTCCATTAAATAATTCTTTTTTATATGCAGTATCTCGACCCGATCCTATCTGAAATATAAGAAATATATATAATCAAGTTACTTGT